TAACATTTAGTATTTACTGTTATATTCCCATAGATCATCATGATGTTGTTTATTCTATTGCTCCAGTCTTCTTCTGCTTGTTTTCTTTTTTCTTTCTCAACAGGTGATCCAGGAAAAGAAAAAAAAAAAAGACACAAAGACAAAGGTGATGAAGCAGATTTTCATTGTCTTTTCTCTTTATCTCTTTTCTCCTTTTTCTCCTTCTGTTAACTTTCTTCTGAACTTTTCTTCTTGTTTTTCTTTCCTGTCCCTGAAAAAAAAAGAGAGTGTAAACTTTATAAATATTTGCATTTCTGCCTGGTAATGTTTCACACTGAGGATCAGACCAAATTGAGAATCAGTGACTCCATCAAAGCAAACTGCACAAGTCTTCTCTGATATGCAGTTTATGAGAGCTGAGGTTAAGTGTGAATGTTGGTATACAAACCAACAGAAGTAAATAATGTTTTATTCTAAGGAGCCAGTTAAATAAACACAACAGTCAAAGTGAGTTTCCATGTTAAAAAATCTGAACTAATGACTGAATGTGTCTGAAAGCTGATTTTCAGTCAAAAACAACAACAGAATCACCGAATTTGATTTATTTCACTTCACAGAGACATTTTGTGATTCTCAATAATCAAAGAAACCAGGTAAAAAATGACACTGAAGTAATGAATCAAAGGCAGGATCCATTGTGATTCACTGAAACACTGAGACTGAGAGTGAAGTTTTAATATCAAAATTTAAAACCTGATTATAAAACATCAGAAGATCCCGAAATCCTTCAAACTGTGAGAGATGTCTGCTGCTGTTAAAAGTTAAAAATAACACAAAAAATGACATTTTTAATCTATTCAAATAAGTGTAGTTACACTGATATCTCACTGAAATAAGATAACTGAAAACAAGATGTTGACAATCAGGATAATTACGATCTTTTATTTGTAAAGTTGGCTCTTAACATAAATTTAATCATTAATCCTTCTTTTAAGAAGTGTCACAGTTTACTGTTCACACTCAACAACTTTGAAAAGCAAAGAAATCATCATTCAGATTTTAAAATGATCAAAACATTTACATGAACAACATCAGAAATATTCTGAAAATATATTCATTAAAACAGCAAAATAGAATGAACCCTGATAATGAAGTTAGACTGTTTGATTAATAATTTCCCTAAACTTAAGCCTGCC